AAAAACACGTTGGGCATTTTTTCGGCCAGACCTCCGCCTCCTGTCATTCCCTCCCTCGACAAATAGGAGATGAAATTGTTTATTTGTTTACCTGCTCTTCTTATCAGGAAAAATGACGCGACCGCATCTTGCATCGACCGAAGAAAAAGCGATCGGCGGCGCGGACGCTGGGCCTCGCCTGTTTGCTGTTTGTTTGTTCCTGGATATAGCGGGTGCACAGGCATATGTATATATGTGCGTGTATGTGTATGTGTGTGTAGGAGCACTACATCTAACTGCACTCTTTCCATAGACAGACAGATTGGAAGTCCAGACAGATAACTAGATAAACTTATAGATAAAATATAGAGTCAGCTAGATTTCTTCCTCCTTCTTTCGCCCTCTCTTTTTTTTCTTTCACTCCCTCTCTCTTCCTCTCCTTCTCCCTCCTAACAAGCAAAACCAATTCGAATATTCTATGTTCCAGAAGCTGAGGGGATAAAGCTAAAATACATCCACATTCACTCACAGAAAAACCGCCATGAATGAAAAATATAAATGCAAAAAAAAAAGTTGGCTTCCATCCCCAAGGAAAAAAGGAGGAAAGGAAAGAAAAAAAGAAAGAAAGAAAGGGGAGGAAAGAAAATAAAGAGAAAAAGAGAGGGAGAAAAAAGGAGGGGCCCAAAAAGTACCCCCTCCTCGCGGGTAAAGACTTCTAGATGCTCAAGTTTACACCCCAAAAAATGCCTGTGGTGTTTTCATCCACTTCCGGCGGGGGTGGGGGTGGGGTGGGGCGGGGGCTGGAAAAAAAACCCCGCCCCCTCCCCTCATCCTCCCTCTCCTCCTACCCCCTCCCCCCACCCTCACACACTTTCAGAAAAAAGAAAGAAAGAAAGAAAAAGTAAAAAGTTTGCCGGGGTCTTAAACTACCATCTAATCCAACTCTATCGCACGCGGAGCCAAAAAATAAAAGAATGTGATGAGTTGCATGGAATGAGGAGAGACTTTTCTTTCTCAGGCTTTTTTTCTTATCTCTATTTCTTTTTCTTTATTTTCTTCTTGCCTTCCCCTCTATCCACCCTTCCTACTGCGATGGCGGTGGATGATGATGGCGGAATGGAACAGGAGAAAGGGGAGACATAAAGAAGAAAGATAGATAGAGATATATAGATGGAGGCAGGAGAGGAATATATATATATATATATATATATATATATATATATATATATATATATATATATATATATATATATATATATATAAAGAGAGAGAGAGAGAGAGAGAGAGGGGTAGACATAAAGGTGCAGAGAGAAGCAAGAGAGCAGCGCCCTCGGCTTCAAGAGAGGAGGTCAGCCTCAAACACAGCGACAAGAAGAGATCGCGCGTGCTGCCCCAAGAAGCAGGTTCCCCGCGACCGGTTTCCCAGCGCCGGTCTCCGCTCCCGGGCAGCTTTTCGGACGAAGGGGGGGGGGGGTCACGGTGGACCGAACGGGCTCAGGACACCCAGGGCGACGGCTCCGAAGCGCCGGGCCGGGCGCTGCATCTCGTCGTTGCTAGAGACGTCGGCCATGAGCTGTGCGTCTCAGCCGATTGCTCACAGACGAAAGGACAAATGGGTTCTTATAAATCGATCACGGCATAACTGCATGCATCAGGCGTACTTAAAATGAAAGAAAGAAAAAAAAAACAAGACACTTGTCTTTATTAATCAAATCTCGATTTTCGATTGCAAAGAGGAACTAAAGTGTGTGGATCCCAGTTTTTAATACTTTTAATGCTTGTTATTATTGCTTTGCCATTCACACATGTATAGCGGGTGATGTTCGCTGTCGCACTTCCACGCCTCGGCTTTTAACGCGGTGTCGTTGAGTCGCGGCGATAATGCGTTGAAGGAGAGGCTTGGCTGCGAGCTTCTGCGCCGCCGCACCTTCGCCGGACAGAAGGCACGGATATAAATGAATAAATGAATGGATGAATAAGTAGATAAATGATAAGAGATGAATAAATGTACATACATATATACATGCGCATACGCGCACATACACACACACACACACACACACACACACGCATATATGTGCATGTGTGTATATGTATATATATATATATATATATATATATATATATATATATATATATATATATATATATATATATACATATATATATATATATATATATATATATATATATATATATATATATATATATATATATATATATGTATATGCATATGTATATATATATATATATATATATATATATATATATATATATATATATATATATATATACGCACACACGCGCGCATGTGTGTGTCTATTTATCTATTTATACACAAATACACAGACACAAACACACACACATATAACTATATGGGTATGTATATATATATATGTGTGTGTGTGTGTGTGTGTGTGTGTGTGTGTGTGTGTGTGTGTGTGTGTGTGTGTGTGTGTGTGTGTGTGTGTGTGTATTCATGTATGTATGTATGTATGTATGTATGTATGTATGTATGTAT